ACCTCACCACTCCGGTGACAGTAGACAGCACAGTCACCATTCCAGTTGGAGTCCATGGCAACTTCAGCAATGAGATGGACATCTCGGCCTCTAACATAGCCTGATATAGCTTCAGATTTAGTTTGGTGGAAAGTGTTCTTTCTCTCAACGCTGTTCCATGCTGCACCTTGGCAGTTGTACACTCCAGTGTACTTGTTCATGTTCCAAATCTTCAACAGGCTGACACCAAACAAGATAATAGTAAGGAAGTGATTTAAGTGAAAACATCATATGAGAAGTTATATGTTCAGTCTCAGAATTGAAGGGCATACATATTTTCTAATCAAAACTGACTTTTACAATAAATTTCAACATCCAAGCCTCTGTCGAAGACTATGAGTTTGCCCAAAATATGTAGAACATGTGAAGTAAATATTATGCTACAATTTTGGTCCAAACAAGACACCTAGTTCTGGCTCACAATCCAGTTGGAAATTCACTTGTATGGTAATGGTAGTGTGAAATTAAAATTACTCACCTAACACCATCACGAGCAGGGTCGAAGAATAGGCAATCCTTGGTAGGCCGACCAGGCAAGCGTGCTTGGAGAATTGAACCGTCTGGCAGAACAAGTTTCTTTAGGAGATCAAAATTGTGCTTCCCAGGTGCATCACTGTTCAGAGACTCAACCTTAGTGAATCGTGGCAATCAATAAACAAGCATTGATCATGAGTACAGTGTTAACATATATAAGGTGATAGAATGGTAGGATTTCTAACCTTACGTAAAGGGGACCACCGCTGATCGCCCTAGCTGATCCATGGTACTCAGCCGCTGGATGGAGGGAGTGGAACATATCCCAATCAGGCTGCATAAATTCTCCAAGGAAGACACTATTGTATGCAACTGCGGCTATGTGGATGGTGTGTGACACGGGATCACGCAGATAGAAATCATCTGATGCTCTAACGATAGCCGTTTGTTTGGAGCTGTTACATTGAACCATTAGAACAGAACACATCTTAATCATATCCAAACTGGAAAGACAACAATGTCCAAGGTAAGGTATACAGATATAATAGGTATACAACTTGTTCAGCCTATCACCATATCATTTGCTAAATTTCTTGAAAAGACACTTGAATAAATTCCAATATAAAAGTTTAAAATCTTAACAGAAGCATTAAGAAAATCGAATTCTCCAACCTAGATCCCCCCTTTGTAAACTAAGCACTTGTTCCTCTCCTCTTAGAAAATTCCTTGTGAAAACCCCATGTGATCTAAGGTGTTTTATTTTGTCTTATCTCAGGAAAACAGTATAGTTTGACTGACAGATTTGGTTTTCACAATCTAGATACGCTTTTTAAAACTAAAGAAATGGATTGAATGAAAACCAGAGAAATGGGTAAATTTGAAACATCAATCATCTAAGATTAGCACAATTACAATTTCAATAAAGTTAATTCCTTGTCATAAAAATATGCGCTGCTTATCAATTTTCAACAAGCTGAAAACATTTCAGAATTACTTGAAAAAAAAAGAAGCATGGTCAGAAACAAACTGAACAAAATTTGAACTTGTGAAAATTAAACAAACTGAACAAAATTGAGGCTTAGAAACATACCAGTAAAGTGCATCAGTATTGTGGCTCATGCAAGCAATGCACCCATTATCTGGAAAATTCCTAGAAACTGAAGCATCAAGAGCTTGATGACACAGTCTGGTCAGCTCAACCCTACCACCCAGACCACCCCCAAGAGTCTCCAACACACACTGCACATCCACCTTAACCCAATCTATACCAGCAGAGGCCAAGTAACTATGCAACTCACTGTAAAACTTGTACACATTCTTCGGGTTCACCAGCCCCAAACCCTGCACTGCAATTGCATCATTCTTCCACGTTGGCTCATTCTCTAGCACCCCCTTTGACACCGCTGGATACTTCATCAACGACCCATATTCCTCCATGTCCTTCACCCCTGGCCTGAACCCACCCCAGTAGCCAGTAATAGCGTGCCACACATACACATACTTCAACCCATGCTTTTCTTTGGCAATGTTGACTATGTTCTTGATCCCCATTGTTGGGTCCTCCTTGTTCTGAAACTTGGAATTTTCTTTAATCCCTGTCAATCTCATTAACGGTGGCTGTTGTGGTGGTTGCTGAGTTGGGTCACCGCCGACAGACTGCCACCCATCATCAATGATCACGAACTTAGGCGGTGTCCCACCGGCGGCGAGACTCTGGAGACTGGCCTCAACACTCTCCTGAGTCACTTCCTGATGAAAAGCATCCCATGTGCACCACCCAAAATAGTCTACAATTCCGGGCAACTTCTTTTCAGGGCGTTGCCTGAAAGTCTTGAGATGAAACTTCACAGCTCTAATGGCGTCTGTGATGGTCCCAAACGGGTCTGTCCCAGCATGAACATACACCGAATGAGTAAACGCCGACGCCATTGTCTCTGAATCACCACTCTCAAGACAAAGCTCGAGCTCGTCTTGTGAATTTCCCTGAAGACATGCTCGAAATGGGCTTTCAATTAGAGGAAGAAACACAGTATAAACAATCTGATTCTCTTCATCTCCATTATCGTATTCTAGGTGAGACCCATCTTGGGTTTCAACGAGTAAGAACTGTGTCTCTAGTGGTATGTCACGTCCTTGATCTCCCATTCTCTGAGCCATCCACCATAGCTTGAACCTGAAACATGCCATGAACCGTACGTCACGTAACGTACCGAGGGACACCACATGTTTGCTGTTATCTCCATCAAACATCGCACCGACGAACACACCTTCCACTGGACCGGTTGTCGTGCCGGAAGTGGTGATCACATTTTCTGGCACATTTGTTAGGATCGTCCGGTCCTTCACGATCAATTTCTGATCGGAAATGCGAACGGCCGGCGTAATTGTCATTGGTTTTACCACTTTTACCTCTTCCTCCTCTGTCTCGGTAAATTCGAATTCAGACTGAGTCCTCTGCAAATATTAAAATTCAACCTCGGTAAATCAAATGTATGTTCCGCAAACTAGCTTAAATTCGACGTCTTTGGGTTCAAGTCTTCATATTTGGGCTCAATGTTTGGGTTTAATAAACCAATAGATCCGATACAATACGGTATACTTAATAAATAAATCGGATATAAGTAAAATAAATTAAACAAAATATATGATAATAATCATTTATATATCAATTATATACCATTTTTATACATGACACGAACATGATATGACACTGATTAATAAATGAATTAAGTATAAATAAAATATTTTTTTGACATAAATCTACCAAGACTCGACACGAATCTGTTTTATCCGATACGATTAGTGGCATAATTATGGCTAATATTATTAATTAGTTATAAACTTCTAAGGTGTTGTTAATTAATTTCCAAGTCAATCATGCATGATTAAATATGTGATGCAAATTAATGGATATTATATTTCATGGCAGCTAAATTTGCATTGTATTATTGACAATTGAAGGATAACCGCCGTTGAATATTAAGAAGCGGAGGCAACAACATCTTTCGTTTATGGTAGAAGAGAAGAAATTTAATGCGAATGATTTTGAAAAAAATATTGGTGGTTATTGAATGAGTTTATTTAAAATCGGTAAATGAGTTTATTAAAATTTATTTTATTTTATAATTATAGAAAAATGTAAACTTAAAATATATATTAGATAATCACAATTATTATCTCCGAAACATGGTGACAACATAGGAAAGAAGAGCTTTCCGAACCATTTCACTGGAGGTAAGGACAAGATGATTTGGCTACCGAATCAGAATTTATAATATAAAATAATAAATATTTTAATAAATTTATCGGACAGTTTGATATAGATTCATTTGACAGTCATTAATATCTCTATTAAAATTACTAATATTTTACTATATCTTCAGGTACAAATTACCCTTACAGTTAAATCAGGATATTTTGAGAGAGCGATAGAAAATCACATTCCACCAGAAACGAGCTCCTCTTTTTCTCCACACCTAAAATTATGGCAGGTTTCAGTTATGAACAACTCTATTTCCGTGAGGATCAATTACCCGCCACTCGAGCTAAAGACTTTTATTTTGAATGTTTTTAATTTGGCTTTTTTCACTTGAATGAAATTGTTTTAACTTTATTTGATTAAAAAAAAATTTAGTGTATAGATTGAGAAATCTATTCATGTAATCAATATTTACATTCAGTTCTAATCAGATTCACAAGCTTGAATTACAAAATCGTCTTTATTTTACCGAGCGATTTCTCCCGTCATCCCAAAATAAAACAAAATAAAAAAATAAAAATTTGAGTCATTAGAACATACTATATCCGAATGTGAAAGAATGCTGGTTATATCTAACTCCCATTAAATGAAACAGTGAAAAAAATCTTGCCGAATACATGCTTTTTTTCAATAATATAGCGCACTACGTTGCCACAAGGAAAAAAAAATATGATTAAAAATTCTCTTTACATATGATGCCTTGGAAGAACAAAAGAGAAAGCAAATATTTTTTTTCCATGGATCATTCATCGGAACCAATTATGCTAGGCAACCTACCATTTGTTATGATTTGTTCGACTCCAAAAATCATCGCTACGATCGAGCTGGTTAATGTTGGAATATGTGGTTAAAATTCTTCGATAATAACCAAGTCACGGTTGACAGTTAAATCCAGAATATATATATATAACCCAAATCCGTTGGTTAAATTTTGCATTATTCATGACATATATCATAGATGCATTTTTTTGTTAAATTATTATATATTAATTAATTATTTTATAATGATATATACATACATATATTACAGTGATATAATTGAATGTTTGAATTAAACCTTTTCTAATCAATATGGGTGACTTGACTATAGGAACCCATCAAGTAGGGAAAGATTAGTCAATCCCACTGGTAGTATAATTAGCCTACTAGTTATTATGATTGCAGAGAGTTGAGGAAATATTGGTGAAATTGAGAAAATATTGGGGAGTTGAGAATATTTTGTTAAGTGGTAACGGATAGTTGAACGGATAACTAAATCTTCCTTTATGAATGAGGTTCTCTGTACACAGAGAGAACATACCAAGAAAATATCCAAATTGTGAGAAAATTTAATGAGGAAAAATCTCAACCCTACTACTTTCGTATTAAAGAGAATTTTTAATTCTCAAAGGCCAGCTCTTCATTCGTTAGATTCACCGAATTCTATTTTGTTTTTTCTACATTGGTATCAGAGTACAATCGATCAAATAATTTCTTACTGTCACAGATCGTATACAAATTTCACTTCACAAGTTCACTGGCCCAAGAGATTTATGAGCCAAAGAAATTTTATCCCATAACCAATCCAAGCACCCATTATCCAACCATTATTTTATTCTGCCATAAAATCCAATTCATTCTTTAACTATCTTCACTTTTCACAAGATAGTTAAAATTGGATTTAGATGTCCTCTATTACTCATTCTCTTCAATTTCTGTTAATGTAGTGCTAGATGAGTGACACATGTAAGATTTTAAATTTTAATGGATAAGATGTTTCTTCATTCATTTTTGTTGTTGGTGGAGTGTTAACCATTATTAAAGAATTTTCTGACAAAAAAAAAATCTTATCCATTGAAATTCAAAATTTTACACATGTCACTCATCTAGCACTATATTGAGGGGAACTGAAGGAAAAGGGTAATGGAGAGAATCTGAATCCGTTAGAATTTGGGTGGTTCAGACGGAACGGACTCGATCAACTATTCTGGTTTTTATACAGTTTGTGAGTTGCTCAATTTTGTTGCAAAAAATGTCAGCAATGCTATTTCAGATTACGTGGCAAATTTTTTATATATCACAAAAAATAGATTGTCGTTGCTGGACAAAACAATTGGTGTTGCAGTCTACTTGAAGCACTCTTGAAACCACACATTGGTAACAAAATTAAATCGGGTCAGCTGTAACCAATTTTACCTAACAGTTTATTTTTTCTATAATTTGTCAATATGGGGTCTAAAGCTGCTAGTGTAGAACTTAGCAAAACAGAAATATTTAATGGTACAAATTATTCAGTTTGAAAATGTAGGATACGTCACATATTATTTCAAGATAAAGTTGAATATGTCATTGATACACCATACTCAAAAGAACCACCCCTTAGAGCCGGAGAGGATGCTAGAAACACTTATGAAAGCTTTTTAGAGAACGACAAATTGGTTAGGTCAATCTTACTCACTTTTATGAAACTCGATTTAGAAGTTATTTTTGAGGAACATGAAACTGTTAAGTCTATGTCTGATGCTATAACCCAAGCCTATAGTACTACTTCTAACACATATATTCAACTCTTGATTGAAAAATATAATGACACTTTTATTAAAGAGGATGAGTCTGTTGTTGAACATGTCAATAAACTTGTGGTAATAGCTAAAGAGTTGACATTTGTAGGCAACCCAATTCCTGATAAAATGCAAGTTTTTACTGTTTTACATACTAATTCATGGGAGTCCATTGTGATTTCTTTGAATATGTATGGTCAAGATTTAACAATGACAAAGTTACCTTTGTTACTAGGCATTGAGACCAAGAGAAGAGCTACCAAAAAAACTAGTAATGTGTCAAATCTAGTTTCTAATTATAACACCCCCTTCACATAATATAATATTGTCCGCTTTGTGCCCACTGGCCCTCACGATTTTGTTTTTCCCAATATCTCAAGAAAAGATTTTATGTCATGTAAGGTAAGGGGCTTACTTATAAGCCCAACAACTTTCCCCTCCCCAACCGATGTGGGACACCAAGATCTCACAATCCACCCCCCCTTAGGGCAACACGTCCCCATGTAGCAGCTCGCTAGCTACCTGCCCGCCCACTACACGCGAGCACGTCAGGGGCCCACACTCGATCCAAGTGAGAGTCGACTTTGATACTAATTTGTAACACCCCTCTCCACATGGCATAATATTGTCCGCTTTGGACCCACTGGCCTTCACGATTTTGTTTCTCCCAATATCCACAGGGAAAAGCCTTATGCCATGTAAGACAAGAGGTTTACTTATAAGCCCAACAACTTTTTCCTCCCCAACCGATGTGGGATACCAAGATCTCACAATCCACCCCCTTAGGGCTACACTTCCTTTGCAGCAGCTCGCCAAATACCTGCCCGCTCACTACATGCGAGCATGTCAGGGGCCCACACTCGATCCAAGTAAGAGTCGGCTCTAATACCAACTTGTAACACCCCCCTCCACATGGCATAATATTGCCCACTGACTCTTATGATTTTGTTCCTCCCAGTATCCCTTGGTAAAGGTCTTATGCCATGTAAGACAAGGGGCTTACTTATAAGTCCAACAACTTTCTCCTCCCCAACCGATGTGGGACACCAAGATCTCACAGTAATGTCCCATCTTCCCAAGTTGTTATGGGTGCCCCATCTAATAATGTGTCATCTACTCCACCTTTTCTTAAGCCAAGACAAGACAAACATTTTAAAAGAAATAATAAAAAATATAACAAGTTCAAGAGACGTAATAATTTTAAAGGAAAATAAATTGGTACTTGTTATAATTGTGGGCAGCCCGATCATTACAAAAGAAATTGCACACAAAAGAATAATGGTCAAAATTTTAAAGGATCAAGAGATATTGTGTGTGGTTTTTGAGTCGCTTCTTGCAGACTGTGACTCTCTTGCTTGGTGGATTGATTTTGCTTCTTCTCGGCATGTGGTTAAGACTAGAGAAAATTTCATTGAAATAAAGGAGGTGAAAATCAGTGGCCACAAGTTATACATGGGAAATAACCTTTATTGTGATGTGCTTGAAATTGACACTGTGAGAATTTCGTTGCCTGGGCAAAACAAACTCCTTTTGATTGATGTACTTTATGCGCCTAATATATGGCGCAATTTCTTGTTTGTGCCACGATTAGA